CAGGCAGGAAGGATGGCTTTATCCTAGCCTCTGTCAGCTGTATATAGAGGAGATTTCCTGCTGATTTTACATAGTCTCTCAACAAAACAGCTTTCTAACTGCTAACTTTCACCATCTAATCACTAAATTCCAGGGACCCTTCTATCCCACTGTATTTGATTCAGGCTCTTCTCTCCCCAAAGCTCTTTTCTTCCCTCTGCTCTTACAAAATAAAATTTTCTATGAAAGTCAATTAGCTGTTATTTATTGATCATTTACTATATGCCAGGAGTTGTTCCAAGAACTTTATATGATCCCGTTCATTCCTAGTAACAAACTCCTAAAGTAGGTACTATTATTATCTCCATTTTACAGAAGAGAAAACCAAGACATAAAAAGATTTAAAAGATTAATTAATAGTAGAGCCCAGATTCAAATTCAGGCTTTCGGATCCTAGAACCCTTGCTCTTAAGGACTCTCGATAGTCTTTCATTACCAACAACATCTCTAGGAGGGAGGCAGTCTGAAGGGTGCTCTCTACAGGAGTTGGAGCTCAACCCCACTAAGTGGCTTGATACATTAAGAGTATGTATATTTCCATCCAGCAAATGATAATCCCTTCTCAATTAGGCAGAATATAGCAAACATATCATGGGATTTGTGAATTAAATGGTACTTGGCTCTTGGCTTGAACATCATTTTTCCTTTGGTGTGACTTCAGGCTATTTACTGTAACTTCCTGAGCCTCCATTTCTTTGTCTTTAAAAAGGGATGATAATGCCTATCTTTAAAATAGGCATATTCTTCTCTGAGTAAATAAGACACTGTATATGAAGCAACAGCATGGTGCACAGAGCACTTGGAAGGCAGCCACTAAGTATTAGTGTCTTTCTTCTTTCCCATCCAGAAAATAAGAAGAGCAAACCATCAGATACTGTGCTTCACTATACTGCTTCTAGGTTGATTCTTTTTGTAATACAGAGCTTAAGATGATAAAGATGATCCCACTCAAGATTCTAAATGCTAGAGCCAGCTGTGATGGCCTACTGGTTAAAGTTCAGTGCTCTCACCACTTCAGTGGCCCGGGTTCATTTCCTGGTCAAGGAACCACACCACTTGTCTGTCAGTTGCCATGCTGTGGCAGTGGCTCACATGGAAGAACTAGAAGGACTTACAACTAGGATATACAACCATGCACTGGAGCTTTGGGGAGAAAAAAAAAGATTCTAGATGCACATAATAAAACAATTTTCTGCTGTAAGTTACCAGTGAAAATTAAAACTCAATTCCATACTATGCTAGTTACAATACTGTCTGTTTTTTCTTCTGGGTTGCGTATGCACAGGTGATCTGTAGAACACAAAAAGAATCTACAATAAAATGTAATACCTCTTTGGTAAAATACTACAGAGCTTTGGTAAAATACTGCTGCTTCTAAGGGCTTTATAATTTATATAATCATTTTTGTATAGCTATATTAAAATATATTGTATTTACTTAATAATATTAGTACCATGATTATATTTTAAGTTCAGAAGTACAAATATAATTTTTAAATGGTTGATATAATGCCTAATTCTTAAACTCCAAGAATAAAAAGAAACATGTCTTAGTCTGTTTGAACTACTATAACAAAATGCTTATGAACAACAGAAATTTATTTCTCACAGTTCTGGAGGCTGGAAGTCCATAATCAGGGTGCCAGTATGGTCAGGTTCTTGTGATGACCCTTTTCTGGGTTGCAGACTGCTGACTTCTTGGTGTGTCCTCACATAGTAAAATGGCAAAAATTTTAAGACTATCAGCCACAAGCTCAAGAAAAAGCAGCTAGTAGTTAACCTAATAAAGAATGCACAGGACAATACAAATATTTATTAAGTGCTTACTTCAGATACAACATTGGTGAAATTAGAGGTGCTTACATTGGAGTGGAGATAGGGAGACAGTAAACAAATAAACACATAGATACATAATATGTCAAGTGGAGATAAGTGTCCTTAAGAAATTATAAAGCTGAATAAGGGAGATAGTGAATGATGTTACAAGGTCCCCTATTTTTTATCAAATGTTGAGGGAGAACACTGGTGTTAAAGATGACATTCAAACAGAGATTTGAAAAAGATGAGGGGGTGAGCTATGTGGATATCTGGGGATTGAACCTGGCATGTTGAATAGCCAGGAGGCTGGAGTCAACTGAAGGATGGAGGGCAGGGTAAACTAGTGCCAGGGGATACCGTAAAGAGAGATGAGGTTGGTGACCACGCACTATAGCAATAATTTTCAAACTCCTTTGACTGTGACCCACAGAAAACACACACACATTTTACATTGTAACCAAGTATACATATCCAAAGAACAGAAACAAAAGTTCCTTGAAACAATCATTTTCTTACACATGCTAGTGTTTCTTCTTCTTTTCTGTTCTATTTCATTTTTTAAAAATGCTGGTTGTGTGGGGGCTGGCCCCCTGGCCGAGTGGTTAAGTTCGCGCGCTCCGCTGCAGGCGGCCCAGTGTTTTGTTGGTTCGAATCCTGGGCGCGGACATGACACTGCTCATCAAACCACGCTGAGGCAGCGTCCCACATGCCACAACTAGAAGGACCCACAACAAAGAATATACAACTATGTACCGGGGGGCTTTGGGGAGAAAAAGGAAAAAAAAATAAATAAATAAAAATCTTAAAAAAAAAAAAATGCTGGTTGTGTGGCACTAAATTGATTATCTGAACCCTTAAGAGAATAAACTTTGGATTTTACTCTGCAATGGGAAGCCAACCAAAAATTCTGAATATATGAGAGGCTTTATTTTTTAACTTAATTTTTATTGTTAAAACTTACTTTATGAAGTTTCAAACATACACAAAAGTAGAGGACATAGAATAATGAACCCTCATTGATTTATCGCCTGCTGTCAACAATTTGCCATTCCTGTTGCGCCTATCACTCCATGCATTTATTTTATTTTATTTTTTTTAATTTTTTTTATTAGTGTTATGATAGATTACAACCTTGTGAGATCACTCCATGCATTTTTAATAAACCACTAGATGACCGAGGGCTTTGGGATTTTTTTCGCGGGGAGGAGGAAGTCCAGTTGATAAGAGTGTTCCATGGGTTTTCCCTCCTGGTTACCCAATGCAAAATTGTAGAGGCCTCAGCATTTCTTCAAAAATCCTGGCACAAGTGCTGCTGACACCAGATAGGCAGCCAGCCGAAGGGGCGGATGGAATTAATAGACAGAACACAATCTATATTATTCAATGGGACAGGGGACCATCAGCCTCAAGGACTGAGGTGAGGTCCCTCGGATCGCCACATATTTATTTGCGGGTAAAGAACCTCAAGCATGTACAATAGCAGAAACTCATGCCTGCAGGGACACACAAGCCAAAGTCCAAAGGTTCTATTCTTCATCCCCCTGACGCACACCAGCCTGTCCCACGTCATTCCCTTGGGGAGTATTTTAAGAACAATCAGCAAGGTATGCGTTCCGTTCCTGCAAGGGCCCTGCCTTCCTAAGCCCCTTGCCTTCATGCTCGATAAGATATTTTCTTCCAGCCTTTGATTCCAAGGCACAAACAATCTGGTATCAGATCACATATCTCCCAGTCACCCATCTGGAATTTATTTTTCCTAGGCTTAAAGCCTAGCAAGGATGCTGCTATGATTTCCCGCAGCACAAAAGGATCTCATGGTTGAGGTTTTGCTTTCTTTACAGTAGCATCTTTGTGGATGCCCAGAGAATTCTAGCCAGAAAAGTGCTTAGAGAGACAGGATCTAGAGCACAAGTGTAGGCTGGATTTATGTAGAGGTTCTCCTCCTCAGGGGTGCTGCGGGGGTGGAGGGGCTGTCCTAGAAGATGGAGATGGAGTATGCACCCTGCACAGAGTGAAACAAAATGGGGTCACTTATGTCCAAGGCTTTAAAATGGAGCTGGGAGGCCATTAAGGAAACCGGCCTTATGCATGTCCTCATGGGGCAGAACATGAACTTTTGAACTGAGTCGAGACAAATATTCTGAGAATGCCCCAAAGAACACCTGCAACTTATCACAGTGATGGACTTTTGCCTCCCTCTAGGAACAGCCTTAACAATCAATTATATTTAGCCAATATTACCACCCCGCCCGCCGACAACTCCAGTTAACATTCTTGGTAATACAAACCTCCCTTTTTTGCCTTTAAAAGCCCCAGCCTCTTACTCCGTAGCGGGACACTATTTGGGCTGCCACCTGAATCTGTCTGTGTACCCTGGATGGCAGGCCTCTCTGACCTGTTATTTTAGCTCTTTATTTTCAGGTTAACAACCCTCTTGACACCTCCTGCTTCTGGATGTGATAAAGAAGACACCAACAACTCAACTGCCTTCACTCTTGTCCCAGCAGAATCAGTTGAACTACATTCTGACAGGCCCATCACGGAGAGTTAACCAGAATGTACCTTCAAGGGGCTAAATTACCTGAACTTGGATACATACGAAATCAATCACCAAGGGATTTGGAGGGATGTCGTGGATTTGGAAAGTGGCTAGCAAACGGAATAGCAACTAGAAATAACGCGGAACTTTTCTGGGCAGAGACATGTAAACATTGTGGTGCTAAAAAACGTCTTATATATTGGCGAGGGAGGGCCCCACCTGTCCGCGTGTCAGAACGGTCCACTTGGGTTATAGGAACCCAAACGGCCGTCTAAGGACCACGTGCTCTGAGCTGAGGTTGCAGGGGCGTGGGAACCACTGAAGAACCGGCCACAGAACGTGAGAGCGCAGGGCATCTGCCAGGATTCCCGGAGAGCTGCAGAACCTCCGGCGCGGGACTGCTGTGTCGGGCTCTCTGAAGCAGCGCTGCAGCTCTGCTTACGATCCGGAGAGCGACCAAAGGTAAAGCCTCTGCTCTCCACACTCCCACCTCCCTCCCAAAAATCTCTCAACAGTCGTTGATGGTTTATGACACGCCCCCAGTGGCTCCCGTGCACCTTCGCCCGGGCAGCCAACATCACTCTCTCTTTTCAGGGCCATACGAGGTGTTGTTTCTGCCCGCAGAACAAGCAGGTGTCTCGGAGGTCTGGGCCGACTATCAGCGCAGCTCGGTCGCCGCATTTTCGAGTTCAGGCACCAGGGTGGGCCGGACTGCATTTCCCAGGGGCCTTGGCGCGCACTTCCGCTTCCGGCCCCTTTGTCTGGACATGGTCTGCGCACGGCGAGCGTGTTCCCTCGCCATCAACCTTTGCTGTGACCTGACCCACGTCTGGTCTGGGGAGGAGCAGACGCCGGACAGGGGTGTGTGTCCAGCAGGGGATTGTCAGACTTGGGGGCCTGGTCGCGTCCCACTGGGTTTCTCCCCGGGCCTGCTGATCTGACCGTAATCCCCTCTGCTGGAGGCTGGGTGGTGCCCTTCTGCGTTCAGCCCCCTTGATCCTGCCCCTCTGCTCTGGGTTTTGTGTGTACCTGACAGTGGTGTGTGCGCGGGTTTAATATCTGAGACACCGGGTCCTTTCCTCGGAAACTGGCTGAGGGTCCGCACAGCCTGAAGCGCTTGGCTGGAAGGTGAGGCAGTTTGGGCGCAAGGCTCCCAGTGCTTGGGTCAGGTTAGAGACCCACGCGTGTGCGCCCCTGTGTTCCTGCAACCCGCAGTGTGATGAACCATTGTATAGACTCACTTAACGTGGGAGGGCGTGGATGCAAGAGATCCGTTCGTCTACGTTGCCAGAAAGGGATACTGCTCGGGGATGTGACCCTAGGCAAGTCACTGGACTCGGTGCCTCCTGTTCCTTATTTGTCAAATGAGGTTTACTGTTCCTACCTTAAGTGGTGGTTGTGAGGATTAAGTGGAATTCTGATATAAAACAGTTGACACAGTGCCAGGCACCAACTAAGGGCTCAGTCAATAGCAGTGATTATTAATGGTAGGCATCCACCTCCACATTTGTACGTAAAAAGAAACTGAAACATAGGGAGGAAAAGTAACTTGCTCTGGGTCACCCAGCCAACTGGCACATAGTACAAATTAGAACCCGAGGGGCCTCACTCCTAGCAAGGCACTTTCCACCAGGGTCCACACTTGGCACTTGCGTATCCATCAGGCATGTTGGTGACAGTATCTTCACCTGTTGTCTGTTATTGTGTTCCTGGGTGTCTGTCTCTGCAGGGCCCTGGGGTAAAGGCTATGTTGAGATTTGCCTGTGTTTAGGGCTTCCTGAAGACTGAAGGACTGCTGACGTTCTTGACTTTAGCCTTAGCTCAGAAGATACTGCTTCAGACTCTGATTACTGTTGTGAGTGGAGTCTCAGAAAATGAGAAAAGAAATACAGTGAAAAAGGAGAAAAATTCAAATGCAGAATCTCTTGCCAGAGTTTCTGGGAGAATGCTGGCAATTCCCAGGAAGAGACATGGAATAGTTGGGTGAGGTTGCTACACCCAAATGGTGGTGCCAAGGCTGTGGCTGTAGAGGCTTGGACCCACAAACTTCAGAACAGAGGTAAGATATACAAGTGAGAGAGGGTTCTGCCATTAGCTGGGTACCGACAGTGTGCATGCATAATCTCATTTTAGTTTCTCCTTATAGCAGCCTTGTAAAATATGTGGGCAGCTCTGAGACCTTGGGCAGGTGATCAGTTTCTTCATTTGTAAAAGGTGCTTTATAGAAAACACGTGGCACATGGTGAGTGCTTGATATGTAGTAGTGATTTTACTAATATCGTTCCATTTTTACTTGAAGCTCCAAGAAAGTAAGACATCTCATCCTCCATACTCTTGCCATTTCACCAGATGCCTCTCCGGAGAAGAAGGAGAGAAGGAAAGGAGAAGGAAATGGGCGTGGAGAAGCTGATGATTTGACTTGGCATCAGAGCACTTGGGAGGGCTCGGGTGCAGAGCTGGGACCTGCATCAGCAGGGTCCAAGGCCTTGCTGCCCAGTTCTGGCGGGGTTGGGAACTGCTCCCTGTTTTCCTTTCAGTTCCCTCTTTAGAAGTGTTCTTTCTTAAGGGAATACAGATGGATGGCCAAGATTAGAAGGGGCTTCCATAGTCTATCCCAGGTCTGTTTGGCTTTCCCCAGCCTCAGCCTCTCTGAGTTCCTAAGACCCTAGTCTTCATTGATTGTTAGAGTTCAGTACAGGGAGGGGGCAGCCATCTTGGGGAAGGGGCGTGCCTGGGAGTATGATCAAACATTGATTATACCTTTTGTTTGCATAAAACAAAGGATAGAAGGAAAACCCATTAAAATCTTGGGTGGTGTTGATGTGTCGAAAATAGTGAGAATGCTAATTAACTGATAATTGAATGACCTTTACTGAGTGCTTATTCTGTACCAGGTATTGATTTGGGCCCTTTATATGCATTGATTTGGGTCCTTTATATGCATTAATGCACAATGCTGGAGGTAGGTATGTCTATTATCCTATTTTTCAAACGAGAAAACTGAAGCACAGAAGAAACTGGCCTGTGGTCATGCGGAGCCATGTTAAAAGCAGGCAGGAGGACTCTGGAGGCAATGTTCAGTGAGAAAGCGGTGCAGGTGGCATAGATTTTTAAAAATTGTGAAACCCTGTACTGCTTATAATGACTGAGGACGTGAAATACCTACTTCTTCCCCAAACAAATCCCTAAGAGGCTGTAAGTATTGCTTTTGGGAGTGGGGGAGGGGGAGAATTAAAGAAATAATAAACTATAGAATATTGGGAAAACACAGAACTATACATGGAATAAAATAAATAGCATGTAACTCTAACACCCAGAGACAAGCTCAAAGAAGTACTCAAAGTTAATATATCAGCAGTTTTCTTCCTAGAGGCAAAAAATCAAAATGGGAAAGTAAATTGTGAGCAGAAGTTTGCTTGATGGGTGTGGAATCAGACAAAGGGAGGTAGGTGGATTGTTCATTAATTCGCTTACAACACCTTGAGCTTATTGCCTGCCAGGCACACTCTGCTGAGTGCTGAGGGTACGGGGGGAATGAGATGACACACTGCAATTTAGTGGATCAGGTGTGTGGTGGAACCAACCTGGGAAGGCTGCAGACTTACTGTGGGCCTGGAATGCTCGTGATCTGGTGGCCGAAGGTCCCTGTGCCCTTGATTGCTGGGAAGGGCACTGCCTCCGTGGCTCCTTTTTCTTGTGCTGTGAAGTTGTACAGTTTCTCCATTTGTGAATCAAGGATTTGAGGCTAGAATTCTTTGTTTTCTTCCAATCCTGACAGTCTGTGCCTTTTCTTTGGTCACGGGGATCCTCATTCTCAGAGCACAGGCTCAGGCATATCCTGAAACCACTTAATGGTCATTTCTTTCCCTGAGTTTACATTCAGTCTCCTCTGAAGTTATCTTTGAAGCCTCATTACTTAGATGTCTGTGGAATCCTTCAAACCATAGGACAACCAAGGCTAGAGGCTGCTCTTCTCCAGACAGCAAAGTCCCAGGTGAGTTGGGGCTTTTCTTCTTGTCCCTAAAACCTCGTTTTAATTCCTGAAGCAAATAAATTTCTTTCTCTTAGCGTGAAGCTAGTCAGCCTTATAGCATCAGCAGTTTTAAAAGATAAGATCAAGTGGGTGGGATGGACTGCCAGTGAAATGGTAACTGGGTGTTCCTCAGGTGTGTGAAGTAGCAGTGGGGATCAGGGGGCTTGGCAGGCTTGGCGGCCTTTCCTGTCAATTGGCAGCACAGGAGGTGGGGAAGATGAGGCCTCTTTAGCAGATAACTGAGGAGGAGGACTGACAGAGCACGGTTGGATGAGAACGAAGCTCCCGTTTTTTCATTTGAGACATTTGGCTTAAATGTGCAAGGGCACATGAGACATCTCTTCTGTCTGCTTAGAATCCCATGTACACAGGACCTGTACACAAATCTGTGTGGTACAAATCAGATTTATTGAGGGCTTGCTCAATAATAAAGAGCTTTAGAGAAAATGTATGAATTCAGAGGAGATTGAGTAAATGTGTTTTACTGAGAAAGATTTGGTAAGGCTTTATTCATTCAACCAACATTTTTAAGCCCTTTTAAGGAGCTCCTGGGCTAATGGCAGCAGCGAGATTTGAAGTGGGCCCTGAAGGATGAGTAGATTTTTGAGAAGTCAGTGACATAAATGGCTTAGAATTGAGGAGAGATACTGCTTTCTTTGAAATGGGAAAAAAGGAAGTACGTTGAAATCATGGATATATTGTCCTACAAAAACTTCTGATAGATTTGCCATATAGTAATAATGGCACACTAAGTTCTTCCTAGATATGATTCTCAAGCTTGGTATATTTCTTAGTTTCTTATTTATCATGTCTCTTTCTTAACTTAATGAAAATAACCTTAAGGCCAGCTGAATAATAGGCTTGGATGGGAAGGCCATATCCTTAACCTGATCTTTTTTACAGAGCTAAGTCACTTTGTTTAGCTGAGACGTTTTTATGGACCTTTGTTCCTCAAAGCCTTTTTCAGACTTATTTTCTAGTGTATGAGACCTAGAAACAGTTTGCTTTTCCAACTATGTTTGCAACCAAATTTCTAGGCTCTGTATTCCATTTTGTTTTAGCTTGAAAATTGGCAAATTCTTTCCTGAGCTCAACTCTTTCTTTCTTTGCCGAATACATCCAGGAGTATCCTACACAAACCAGCATTCTGGCTCTTTCCAACCTATTCCCCTAGAGCTACAGGCTCAGTGAGCATTTGGTCTGCCTTCACAGTTACTAATTATTTTGTCAGTGTATATCAAGCGTCTGCATCATTCTAGCCTTAAATATCCATTTCCTCGAAACCTGCCACCCGATTGTCAAGCCAATGCCACCTGTATATTTTAGGGTTTTATGATGATACCTTCCACTTCTAGGTGTTAATTTATGAATCAGGGTTGGATAACTTACAAGTGGTGTAACCAGCACACCCAAAATGTGTAATGGCCCCAATACAATAGAAGTTTATTTCTTGTTCTCATAACCATATGACTGTGTCAGCAGGTTGATAGGGTGGCCATTCAGGGCCTTGAGCTATCTGAAGCTCTAGTATCTTTATCACATGGCTCTCAAACTTACTTTTGGGGTCATCTCCACACCAGCCATCCAGAAGGAGAAAGAGAAAACAACATGGAGGAATGTATGTGAGTCAGGCATGGAAATGGCACGCCTCACTTCTGCTTGCATTCCGTTGGCTAGAACTCAGTCATGTGGCCACATCTAACTGCAAAGCAGTTTGGGAAATGTTTGCCTACCTAGAAAGGTGAGGAGGAAGTGTACTTTAGTGAGCAGTTAGCAGTTTCTGCCACTCTCCTCAAACTTCTAGGTTGTTTAGAACTATTTTGCTATTGTAAGTTATAAATAGATAAGAATCTTTGTATATAATTCATTTTCCTTATCTCTGACCATTTTCTTATAAATGACTTCTAGATATAAAATTGCTGTGTCAAAAGGGTATACACATTTTAAACTCTTATAACATACAAGTCAATAAAATCTTGCCTTTGATACTATGAACATGGTTGGATCTATTTCCTCCCGTCCCATCAGTCTCCTCTAATTCTGCCTCATTCCACCTTTTCTTCAGAGGGTGTTTCAGGGCTTTGTGTTGTTCAAAGGTGTGGCTGTGAACTTCACTGAGGAAGAATGGAGAGAACTGGACCCTGCGCAGAGAGTCCTGTACAGGGATGTGATGCTAGAGAACTATAGGAACCTGGTCTCCTTGGGTAAGGTTGAGTCCTCCCACTCAGGTTGGCCTTTCGGGATGCCTTTGCTTTCTAAAGATTCCCTTGCTCCTATTAGGGGGAAATAACAAATGAGGTTTTGGTTATTCTTTTTTCCTCCAGAATCTAGAGTAGATCCTTAAACTGCTTCTCACCCTACTTACCCCGGGTAGAAAATATTCACTTAATTTTGACAATTAGGTATCTTGTTTTCTGCTCTCAAAAACGCAACCGAGTGGGACTGAGAATGGGGTGGTCCTTTGTCCTTTGAACTTAAGATCACATTGTGTTTCTTTCCCTTGAGTAGGATTTCCATTTTCTAAACCTGGTATCATCTCCCGATTGGAACAAGTGGTAAACCCATGGATGCAGGAGGGAGAAGTGCTAAGCAGCAGCTGTACATGTAAGTGAGAACAAGGCAGATAACCTCTTTCAAAATATGAGTCAGAGGTTCTTCTCCAGATCCTCCAGGCTCATAGAAAATGGTGAGGCCCCCTCTACTCTCATCTTCACTTGGATGTATCAGAGTCCTGATAGCCTGCCTGTCTCCTTCTTCCTAGACTCAAGGAAGGGGTACTTCCTCCTTAATGTTGTAACCCTAACACTTGATCCAGAGATCCCTGTTGTGTCCTGCCCCAGGCATTTTATGCAGTCATTTCCTTCTCCTGTCTAGTAGCTGGAGTCTCTCCTTCATGTACTTTGTCTTCATTGTACCTAGTTTGTTCCTATCTAAAAAATATGAAGAGAATGAAGCAATTTGCATGTTATTTTACATCCAATTTTAAGGATGTAAAATTGACAGAATTTGCTGAGTATATGGGGAGGTAAGGGAGTAACAGACAAAAATAATTCCCAGGTTTCTGGCTTGGATGTGTAGGTGGATGGAAATTCCCTTCCCTGAGATGGAGAACACAGGAGAAGTAGCAAATTTGGAGGGCGAAAGATGAGTTCCGTTTATCCTAAGTTGGCTGAAGTGTCTATTGCAGGTCTAAACCAGTGGTTCTCAACGGGGGGCAGTTTTGCCCCCAGGGGAGATTTGGCAACGGCTAAAGATTTGGAGGGGCTATAGGCATCTAGTGGGTAGAAGCCAAGGATGCTGCTAAACACCCTGCGATGCACAAGACAGCCCTTTACACAAAGGCTTGCTGGCCAAAATTTCAGTTGTGCTGCAGTTGAGAAACTGGTCTTCATGGAGACGTCTGGAAGGTAGATGAATATAAGGACGATATGTCAAATGGATCTTGATGAAGGAAAGAGATCTTAACTGGTGGTACAGATGAGAATCATCTGAAAAATATGGTAATTGAAATCATAGGAGTGGATGAGATCACCTATAGAGCATGAAATGAGTTGCAGGAGAGGCTAGATACCTAGTGAACATACACATTTAAGTATCTGTCATATATATATATATATATATATATATATATCACTGGTGTACTTTTTCAAAAGTAAACACATAGGGAAAAAAACTGGTGCCAAAAATAATAAAATGGTAATAATTTTTAATAATGGGTGATGGCATTAGATGTTAAATTTTTGAAATTTAAAAATTTACTAATTTAAATTAAATGAAATTTTGAAATTTAAAAATTTACTAATATAAATAAATGAAAGAGCATTCAAAGGGGATAATAAGAAGGAGTGGCTAGAATGAGGAGGAAACCAGGTCAGATTAATTGTCACAGAAGTCAATAGAAAAGAGCATTTCAGAAGGAGGCGAGGGGCTCATAGTGTTATATGCTAGAGAGGTCAAGTGAAAAAGACCTGAAAAGTGTCCATTGGACTTAACATTAATAGGTTATTCCTTCTTTTTGGCTAACCTAATAGTGTATTAGTCCTCCTGCTACCATTTTTGTCCTCTGCTTAAACTTCCATTGCTGTCTTTTAGCTTTTCTTTTCCTACCTTATATAAGGTTGTCAAATCCATATACTAAGATTACTTTGAAAATAGTCCTCAACATACAAAGAGATATATGCCATGTTTGTTTTACCCATAATAAAGTTGAAAGAGTACTTACAAGATCCCCAATTATAAAGTCCCAACTTTACAACAATTAAAAAGTATGTCTTGTGTAGTTTACCCATAATAAACCTGAACTAATGTTAGTAGTAGGCCTAATCCTCTGATCCTTCTAACATTTCTACATTCTCCTGAACTTTGACTTCTGTAAGCCTTTGGTGGGTGAGGGTGTGTGTTCATGTGTGTTTTGGGAGGCTCAGAGAGAAGGAAAAAAGTGGAGGCTGAAGGAAATCTCTGGCAAATGGTGAACATTCATGGTAACAAAGGAATTTTTGGGAAATGATCTTTTTGAATCTGATAGCAACCTCATTGGTAATCATGGAGAGTTTCAGGAGGACTGTGCCATTGGGAGTGGAAGATGTAGGCACTGAAGGATGACCTGGGCTGGGGTGAACTCCAGACAAGAGGTGAGGGAGGGGGTGTATCAAAAGCCAAGGAAGATTTCAGTGGTTCAGAGTCTGGGGCATTTATCATTCCTGTGTACAGTACTGATCATTTCCCAATTGAGATCTCTCTAACACCTTGTTTTATAGTATTCATCATGCTTGAAGTTATTTAATTAATACCTTTCTTCCCCAATAGACTATACATTTCACAAGAGCTGGTATGGTATCTGCTTTGTTTATCATTGAATCTTAGCACATAACAGTGCTGAGCCTATAATAGGTATCCAGTGAATTATTTGTTGACTGCTCAATTTACATTTGTGACTAATGGTGTTTATGTAATTATTATTTCATTCCTGCTTTAGCCACTTCTTTCTTTTAGTGCAGAGAACATTTTTACTTTTCCTCCCCCAGACTTGGAGACCAGAAAGTCAAAACCAAAGAAAGTGTTTTCTGAAAAGGAATCATACCAGAGGATAAATATGGAGAGAAGCACAGAGGCTGATGCAAGGACCTCCAGTCTGAAAGAGGCCTGGGGATGTACACAGATCAAAGAGGGTGCTCAAGATAGACTCTGCAAAGAAGCAACAGTTATCTGCAAGAAAAGAACTTCAATAGCAGATAGTAGCCCCAAATATATTGAATTTGCCAGACATGTTAGTCTGAAGTCAGACTTTGTTATACAACCAAGACATTCTAAAGAAGAGAGACCTTATACATATGATGCTCAGGGAAAGAGCTTCAAACAGAATTCAAAATTAGCCAGACATCAGAAAGACAGCACAAATGAAAAAGCTCTTCAGTGTAATGAATGTGGTAAAATCTTCAGTGATTACTCAGTTTATATTCAACATTGTATAGTGCATACTGGAGAGAAAGATTTGGAATGTAATCAGTATGAGAAGGCCTTTGGTCATGGTGTACACCACACTGAACATCAGAAAACTAATATTGGAGAGAAGTCTTATGAAGCTAGGAAAGCCTATAAGTGGAACTCCTATCTTATCAAACATCATCAGAGTTTTCATAGTGGGAAGGAATATAATGTGCATGAAAGAGCCTCAATTCAGAATACACCATTTATTCAACATCAGAGAATCCAGAATAGAGAAAAACCTTATGAATGTAGTGAATGTAGAAAAACTTTCAGTAATTATTCAGCCCTTACAGTACATCAGAGAATTCATACTGGAGAGAAACCATATGAATGCAATGAATGTGGGAAAGCCTTTAATCACACGTCATCTCTTATTCAACACCAGAGAATCCATATAGGAGAGAAACCCCACAAATGTAATGAATGTGGGAAGGCTTTTATTCAGATAATGCACTTTATTCAACACCAGTGGATTCATACTGGAGAGAAACCCTATGAATGTAATGAATGTGGTAAAGCCTTCAGTCACAATTCATTCCGTATTGAACATCAGTTTATTCATACTGGAGAGAAGCCCTATGAATGCAATGAATGTGGGAAAGCCTTTAGTCACAACTCTTCCCTTATTGTCCATCAGTTTATTCACACTGGAGAGAAACCCTATGAATGTAATGAATGTGGCAAGGTCTTCAGTCAGAGCTCACACTTCTATCAACATCAGAGAACTCACACTGGAGAGAAACCTTATACCTGTAATGACTGTGGGAAAGCCTTTAGTGATCGATCAGCCCTTATTCGACATCACAGGACTCATACTGGAGAAAAACCCTACAAGTGTGAAGAATGTGGTAAAGCCTTCAGTCAGAGCTCAACTCTCATAAAACATACAAAAATACACACTGGAGAGAAACCCTACACCTGTAAAGATTGTGGGAAAGCCTTCAGCCAGAGTTCATCCCTTACTCAGCATCAGAGGGTTCATACTGGAGAGAAACCATTTGAATGTCATGAGTGTGGGAAAGCTTTCAGTAGAAGTGCCCATCTTACTCAGCATCAGAGGATTCACACGGGAGAGAAACCTTGTGAGTGTAATGAATGTGGCAGGGCTTTCAGGTGTAGTTCAGCTTTCATTAGGCATCAGAGACTTCACAGTGGAGAGTCACTCTGAATATGTGGACATATTCATTCAGACACTTCACTTTGTTAAATACCAAAGAATCATACTTTCACAGGTTGTTACAATTGTGATACTTTTTTATTTTGAGGGATGAAAATGCCCTCCCCCCATTTTCTCCTGAAAAGTATCAGCTGCCAGAATACCACAAATCCAAGTGAAGAAACACTGATCTGAAATCTGAAATAGCCCAAGATACTCTAAACATCAATCTTTGTGTGTGTATGTGTGTATTTTTATCCATACCTGAAAATGGCTATTGTCACTGGGAAGTGATTTCTTTTTTTCTTGGCCACAGGAATAAGCTGTTCCAACACACGAAGCAATTCCAATTGTTCAGAATTGAGCTTATTGACCCTTTTTGTACAAATTGGAATAGTGCCATGTCCAAACTAAACAGAGAAACTCATGGTTGATTATATATCATAATACTACCTTCCTATAAATCTTTGCTCTTATATACAGTCACTCCTACCCTCAGCATCGACCCTCCTGTAGATAGCTATTGTCTGTTTTACCTAGTCCCAATTTTTTGTGATCACCCCACAGAGGCAAGATGGACTCCCTCCCAATGACTAGGCCAGTTGTTGAGACTGATGACACTTCACGCACCAAGAGAATTTGAAAGAAAGTATTACTCATATGAAGGACTTTTGAGGAGAGCAGGGTAGGCACAGGCCAGTCTGGAATGGCAAGTGCAAAGAGCAGGTTGGGCCTTTTCAGTGGCTAGGGGCTAGGGCTAGAGAAGTTTCCATGCACGGCAGTGGTATTCAAGCTTGCAGGAGTCAAGCTCCAGTGCCAAGAGCTAAGGAGGTACACACAGGCTTCCTTATCTAAAGTACGAGATGTCTGGTGGTGGGGAAGCAAGGTGGAAGCTCAAATGCTGTCAATGGCCAGACATCAGAAATGGAGTCAGACTCTATTACAACCACTTCCTCAGAAAATCTTTGTTCACTTATCTCAAAATAACTCTTTAATGGTACTGCGTTTTTTCTTGATGAAGAATCTATTTTGCTTTGATCATCTTCCCCTTCCGAGAATCTTTTTTCTTTACCCTTTCCCCAAGGCTTAAATTATAACTATCACTTCTTAGAAAGTCAACCTTATTTACCCTGGAAACTGACAGCCTTCCATGGTAACTGCTGTTTCATACAATCCGGACGGAAGAGTTGGGGGAAGGTTTGAGCTTACGTTTTTAGAAAACATATCAGGAAAAAAATAACCTACGAATTTGTATCAGACTATCACTGGATTAAATTACTTGGCTTTTCTGATGAAAATTCCTGTATATGGCCCTAAGAAATTTTAGGTGTACTTAGTGAAGCCAGGTATTACTTTTTGGTCACACTGTGAGTTCTTTTCTTTCAAGTCATCCTAAGCTTAAATTAATCTTATGGTCCTTTTTTAGGTTTACATGAATTATTTCCTCTTCCTTTTTTCTTTGTTCTAGGCATTTTTCAGTTACCCAAGAGGATTCTTATCTAGGATTAGAGTCTCAACTTTCTCTTTCCTGATTTACTAGTCAGAACCTGAGATGTCCATGCTTTGTATTTTTCTCTCTAAAAGGGCTGCTCTGAACTTGTCCTTCTCACCAGCTTTCCTACCCTTCTCTTCTGTTTAAAGCACTTACATGGTGTCAGCTACAGCTTGAAGTTCAACAGGGCTTGAGTTTTAGGGCTGAGGAGCACAACTGCAGGTAGAGAAGAAAGGATTTTTGTTCTGAAAATTAGCTGTAAGACAAAATAAAGGAATGGTGACATCTGGAAATAACTTTTGAAATACCTGAAATCTTTAGTAACTTTTAGAAATTGAAAAGGGGAAAAAAGAGTCATCTATAAGTGTCCATCATTAGAATCAGACCTCTTAAAATAATGTTTGTTAACAATTTAGATAGCAAAGCCCTCTCATAACCAATTGTTCCCTGGAGCCAGTTAGCTTTGGTTGTGGGTAAACCTTTGCCATTCCTTCAGAGGCATCGGGTATGATAACCTGGTTTAGAACTAAAAACTCAGGACAGGTGTCCTTGAACAAGAGGACTGTCCTTGGACGGGTGGATTGCATAAATTGGTGGATTGCACTGTAGTGAATTGGTTTAATTCTATTTGTAGTCAAAATATAGTTTGGATACTGAAATATTAAAATTTATAGGGCATGATGGTAACAAGATAGTTGAAATCAGAACATTTCCAGAAATGTTATGACTGTTTTGTTTTAATCTGTGCCATTAATAGTAGGATCTATGCTTTTACTCTTTTCTTGGATCTTTCTTACAGGATCCTCTTAAATGCTATCCATACTTCCCCTCTTGTTAGAGACTATAATCCCTCTCCTTTTATTACTTAAGCTAAAGCTCTGTGTGTGTGTTTGGTTAAGGCAAGATCTTGGGGTGGTGATGGTGAATTTTGGAGTTTGATTTAAAGGTTTAGATAATACTTTTTTTTTTTTTTGATATTTTGATCTCTTTTTGGTAGGTAATCTGGATTCTTCAGTTTTTAAGTCATGCAAATCAAAATTTCTAATTTATATGGTTAAAACTGCTTATGCTTGACTGACCTGGGTTCAGTGAAGGGAAAATTAATTTACATGTCACATCTGAAATCCCTCCAGGCAGCTTGGGTGTTTTTCACTGTTGAGATGAGCTCATGTTATGGTGGCCCTGGCTTGATTTGAGGATGGCAGGAGGAGATCTTTGTTACTCAAGCAGGGCTTTCTGCCTTTTCGCGGGGGTGGGGGGTTGGGTGGGGGGGTTAATACTTTTAAGGGTTTGTGTTTATTTGTTTTTTTAAATCAAGAGGCAGCTGTCACATTATCAGTCTTTTCTATTTGCAAGTTAGTCTCCTCTTTAGGACCCAACTCGAAGTGTCACCTCCTCCCTGACCTTTTCCTTCATCACCATAGTTGAAAATAATCTCCTTTTCTGAAAACCTGTGCCACTCATTATATCCCTCATCTATGCTGCTAAGACATTTTTAGTTTGATCTTAATTTCTGGCTTTGTCCCCAACTTTAACATAGTTCTCCCCATGAGGAAAGTATCTTGTTTAGGTCTTTTGTTGTTGTTGATTTTAAACAAAATAATACTTGCATATGGTTTTAAAAATTCATATAAAATAGAGTTTTCTAGTGAAAAAATCATCCCTTTAGTGCTTTTGATAACACATCATATATTAGATGGTTTCTGGATATGTTTTGCCCAAGAGTCACGCTAGAAAATACAGTGGCTTTTCTTGGGAAAATCATATCATACGTACCTTTTACATAATAAGAATTCAACCACATGCATTAAGACCCCTTCCCCCCCCAAAACCAACAGATAAATAAATTAGTGAAATTAAAAATACTGTAAAATTATATTTTTCATATCTGCATAACATTCTTTTGTTTACTTATAAATTTGTACATACAAATACATAATAGCATGTGTTGGGAGAGTTATACACAAAATTATGTAGCTGTATTTTATGGACAAATTAAAAAATGTATAAGGGCAATCTTGACAATACCCTGTTTTCACCTAATCTGCTGACTGTGGAAGCTAACTGTGTGGAAGAGTTTGACTCCAAAGAACCCAGAGGCACAGCCAGTACATTCGTGTACTACTTTTACTTATAATACTTATTCCTCTCCTTGAATGTTTTTGCTTGGTTTGTCAAAGTTGATTATATCAGAAGATAGGCCAATTCATCCTAGTAGGAAGGTTGCTGTGATACAGCAATGTGGAGAATTGAGAAACATTTCTGGTTAATCCAGGTCAAAAAAATCCATTTCCCAAAATAAACCTGGCTTTAGGTATCTGGATAATTGCCTCAGTTAATAAGGCAGACTTAGTTTGAATCTCTCCTTTAGTAAGAAAGAAAAGCTACCTGATTTTTGTCCTTATATTAGAAATGCAACTGGAGAAGTAGACATTGATATTCCATTTCTTTCATTTTTATCAGCATGAGGTAAGGCAGAATTCAATGTACAGACATTTTTTTTTTTAGCTCTATCCAAATCCTTTTCAGATGATTTCCCTGACGATAATAATAGCTAATACTTATAAAGCATTTATTATGTGCTAGTCACTGTTCAGGCACTTTTATATGCATGAACTTACTCATTGCTCCCAACAATGCTCTCTTATTATCTCTCTTTTCTAGATGAGGCAACGAGGCTCAGAAAGGCTAAGTCACTGGCCTGCTGGTAAGCAGTGTGGAGCTGAGATTTAAACCCAGGTAGTCCAGCTGGAGAATCCTTGTTCTTAACCTTTTTGCTGTACTGCTTTGCACGTGTGTGTGGCCCTGAGCTAAGCATTGCGGAAGCATGCCAATCACCAGGGCATGTGGGAGCTTAATGGAGCTACCTGCTAGGGATGAAGGAAGCATAAGTGACGATGGGGTCTACAGATGTCAAGCTTCTTCCCTTCATGCTACACAACCTGATAAGCCTTGGGCCAGACTATGCTAAGAGTAGAGGGATTCTGCATTGACTCGGAGGCAAAGCTCTGAGGTAGAGCACTCTTCACATTCCCCATGTTAATGCCTACCTAGGGAACTGCTAAAGTGTAATAAGGTACTAAATATTATACTGGAAAGTCAGTAGTTTTATCTGGGTAGAATAGCCCAAATTTACCTACCAGTCCCTTTTAGGCCAGCATTTTCAGCAGCTCCCACAAAGTCCTTAAGGTTCATGACTGTGACAAGATCAGGGGCCTCTCAGAGCAGAGGGCAGCTTTGGGGCTGATTGCCCGTCCTGAAGGGGAGTTTCTGAAGCATGCCCTTCCCCCTCTTTTGTATTTGACGATTGACATAGTAATAAGCACACATCAAAGGGAGTCAGAGGCTTCTCTTTGGAGTAAAGTCAACAGGCGGGAGGAGAGTTAGAGGAAATTAGGAAAAGAAAGAGCAAGTTCTGGGGATTTAAAAAAAAAATTCTCGTCATTTTAGGAGTGTGGAGTGTGCTGCTTGTGATGCTTGGAAATTATTCCTCCTAATCCAGTATTGTGTGGATTTATGTCATTCTCTCCTGTTTACGAGGGGAAGGAAGTCTCCAAAAGAGGAGAGCGGGCTTGAAAATCACAGTGGAGTTAGGGGATTTGGCTGATCCGATGGCAGCTGTAGGTAGTCCTTTAATGCCTTGGTTCGCTCCCTCGTCGTGAGCACACGTGCCTTTTCCCTCATAAAAGGCTGTTTGCTTTATAAGTTGGCAACAAGGTTGTCCAACCTCTCTGCTG